TAAATAATACAAACTTGTCACAAATAATTAAAACCAACGCTAATTGCACGTAAATAATGAAATGCTCATTCGCTTTTAGTTCTGTTTTTCATTATTGTTAATTATATTGACCTAGATACCAGACACTTACAGAAATAAGTTTGAATTTTCAATATGAACGCTTAACAACTTTTAAATCCTCTACAAAAATTCCTTTGACGAAACAGATCTAAGAACAATTAGACACATGAAACCAATCGATTTTCTCACTTACAAATTAAATTTAAATACATCTAGAAATATTTAAAAAATGTTCACTAACTAATACCAGTATTGAATACAAATGTGAATTTTTGAAACTTTTTCTAAGAAAACGTGTCGTTCTGTAAGAACACTTATACATTTTTTACATCGATGACCTCGAGGGTGCAAGTCTTAAATTCATTTTATAGTATCGACATATAATTAATATAGAAACATACTGGTTAAATGGTTACAAATTATCATTTACAGAATGTACTTGTCAATAATCGGTTTTTAATAGGTAACAAAAACGATTATAACAATTTAGCGTGCCAGTTGCGTTTGTATTTAACACCGACTCATTTAGTTACTCATGAGTCAGTTATCTATAAATAGTAAATATTACATCTGTTCAAAATAAAGTAATATTTGCATATCAAGCATTCCATTCGTAAATAAAAAATAATTATATTATAACAAAATATGGGGTTATAATCGCCGCAATCATTAAATGTCGTGAATTTTTATTACAAGGCAAATTTAGATTTTTTACTGAAATAACCTTCGAAAATCCGTTACTTTTCTCTTTTCTAATGATAGGTTATAAAATAATTAACGAAAAACTGCATCATACAGTATTGACAAAAGACATACAAAAAAAAAAAAAATCACGTATTTATCGGTACGTTTTCTCGTTGTTAATAGAACTATTAATAATAAAAATTGCATTTCAATTATTTATAACTATTGCAGGAAATAACACAAAAGAATATTATAATTATGTACTTGTTTTTGACGATAAATAAATATAAAGAGGAGATAGATAAAATCCTCAATAGTTAAATATTTTTGCACTAACAATTACAAATATTTGATAACTTTATATTGTATCAAAATTGTTAGAATCATTTTCAACAAGATAGATAATTTTAATGAACTAGAATTTCAAGAACCCAGTTAAAATATTAATAGAATAATGCATGCAATAAAACAATAGGCCACCATAAAACAATATTGTAACTTAATTACTTCACGAAGTGTGTTATCCTAAATTATTTATTTCTGAACGATATATTTAGTTAAAGCATAATTTTTTACGTAGATGAAATTAAATAGCCTGTGTTAATTAAATTTATAATTGTTACTACCGATTATCGTTTAATTTTGATAGATATTTTTGAAATTATTGAATATTATAGACGATAAAATTTCCTTAAAGGAGCCTTTAAAATACAATTTGTTGTTATTTTTTGATAGCTAAAAAAAATATGAAAAAATTAGTGGATATCACAGAAAAACCAATAAACAGATGAAAACGATACAAATCAAATTCAATAAATAGATAAATAAATTGATTAGTTTACACTAACTGCGGTTAGTATAACATAAATATAGTAACCGCGGAGTCGGCCGTTTAATTAATAATTTTTTTTTTATCCAAGTGTATACTCTGGCGCCATTTTGCTAAATAGATTTCTTAAACAGACTATTCATATAAAAAGAACAGGTTTTATGAACAATCAAGTTTCAGATCATGACTGTGTATTGAAAGGAAAAAATACTATTATATTTTTATTATTGCATTATTGTACGTAGCAATGTCTTACACGACGTATTGAAAAGTGATCTACCAGTTGGCCGTTGTACTATTCACTTGAATGCATTCAAATAGCAGCAAACTATTTTTTTTTTGCTTTTAGAAATCAAGAGGATCATAAAATAACTCAATGTAATAACAAATAAAAAGATGGATTACAATTAATCATAATTTTATCTTAACAATTGCTATTGATTTATATAGATTATAATAAAACATTTATCAACAAAAATTTTAAAAAATTAACCCATTAAATAATTACCCCCTCTGTGATAATAAGTATCATCCTATTATTATTATTGACTAAAATTAGGTAAGCAACTCTATTAGGCCCACAGTTTATTACAAACGACTAGCTTGTTTTTCTTTTTATAATCCAAGCCCCCTCACACTGCCACGTTCACCAACTTAACCGAGTCATTACAATATACACGTGAATCAGTTAAAGACCCACTATAACGAATCTAAATTTTATCTAAACAAAATTTCATTATTGACATTCATGTGAATCCAAAAAAAAAATTTTACACATTATTAAACGGTGAATTGATTGGCGATTATGTTAAATACAAGTCTCACAAAGTACGTTTAACCTGACAGCTGTAACCCGAGTTTCTTAGGTTTAAAAAGCGGTAAAAAACCAATTAACAAAACGTACTGATGTCATTTGACTACTAAAATGTTTACTAAGTACAAATGACAGGTTTACCAATTTTTACGATTTCTACTTAAAACACGTTATTTTAATTAGGTCTACTTTGAACTTCGAACAGATTAATATTTAAATACCTTTTAATGCCTTTAACAGTCCAACAGCATTCGTAATCATATTACAACTCAATAAAATTAATTCAAATGAAATAGACGTATAAAGTGAAAATTTTTTACTTATCATTAAAAAAATCGTCAATTAAAATTGGTGTAATTTAAACGCATATTTTATATTGTATCAAAAATAAACTCTCAGGTTTTTTAACAGAATATCTTGAAAAAATATTTCATTTTATAGTTTTTTGACACTTAAAATTATTATTAGGTATAAAAATGAAATTATTTCATAGGAATATTTGGTTGAAAATTAAGTAATATATAGTTCGACATACAATAAAAAACAATTTTGTTCAAATAAATGGCAAGAAAATGTTTACACTTTAGAACTGTATTATTGTATTTGTTCTATTTGATAGTAACACAAATTATTATTTGATTAGATGTTCGAAATATTTGTGAAGTAACTACATAAAAAAATATAGAGATTATTAATATCTCAAAGTGTGTAAACAACTACTACTAAAATAATTTTATCGCTATTGGTGTAATACTTAAACAACTCTTATGTCTCTATCAAGTTTTTTAATTAATAATTTTCCAAGGTAATGTGTATATTTATCAGCAGGTAACCCTTTTGGATATTTATTCGATAGAACTCGTTGTATACACATTTAATAGAATAGATACTATTTATAAAATTATTTTGATGAGCTCCGATCAAACCTGTTATGTTAAAACAGATAGATTCGAGACTGAGTGTAATAAGAAGTTACCGGAAGCTGGTCAAAACATAACGTCAGTTTATTCGTTTGTATATACGTTGTATTGCAAACTGGTAATTAACGAAAAAAATATGAACAAAAAAAATTATAAATGATATCCATACGTTTATTTTTACAGTAGTTGGATAAGTTTCACAATAATTGCTACGTACTCAACAAATCACCTTGCGGTGTTTAAATTTGTACTCTTGTTATTGTAGAGAATAAGTGTGAACAATAACGGTTTTTTGCTATTAACCGTGTGATACGGACGTCTGGAAACTCATTGTATACATTCGATGCGTTAATTTGACCGCAGTCAACGTTGCCAGAAAACGTGAGAGAATATTTCAATCGGATTTCATTAAAACCCGTTCATAAGCAGCACTAACGTATATATGAAAAACGTGATGGGTCGTGAAGATTTAGAGATATCATAATAAATTATTATTCAGCAGGTCATTTCTGTATAAACATATAACATAGTTAATTTCAGTGAGCATTTTAAACGGAGTGATTTGACGCTGTTAAATTCAGGAACGTTTTCAACATAAATAAAAATACATTTATTACACTTAAACTAAACGAACAAGTCAAATCCGACGAATTTACTAGATTGATGAGAGGAAAAATATCGTGGTAAAATTTCGTCAATCCACGTTCAAGGAAAAAATTTATAAGCATCATAAAAAAATTATAAGGATATCTAAAAATTGATACTTAGGAACTATTATCTCTTTTATAACTAAATTATAAAAGGGTTTCACTTAAAAAATGCAAACACTGCTATGTCAAAATGGGAAAACATTTATAAGCTGTCTATGGACGCGTGATTAAAAACATCTGGTAAACACAAAAATGTTCAGTAATTTTTTTTTCGTCTGTTTGCATGGAGTAAAATATTTACCAAGAATTTAATATATTACGCTGTTGTTTCACTATACAACTACATACTATTAGACTATACACTCTCTTGTCTACATATTTTTAGACCCACGTGTCTTAATATTTTAGAAGATGATTTTAAAAGAAGAATGAAGAAAGAAGCATTTGTGTAAATTTAATACAAACGCCGAGTTTTAATAATAATTTGTTATTCATATTTTAACAATTCAAGTAAACAATGAGCGCGTTTCTACGGTGTTGACGGACACATATAGAATATAAAATATTCTTAAAATATTTATGTATGCAAAGCCGGTAGACGTAATCGCCAATCTTAACTTGCACACATTCATGTTTTCTTAAAATTAAGTAATGAAATAATTAAGACTCCTCATTAAGATCACTTGAAATCATGACATCAATACCCAAAACTCTTTTAAGATATATTGCATAAATAACTATTCTAAGAGTTTTCATAGCCATAAATAACAATTTTACTCTATGTAATTGCCAAATAATAAATGCAAAAACAAAACATAGACGAGAATTAGAAAAACACGATGGATGCGTGTTTAAATTTGATACCGAAGCCATTCACTATCTAAAATACCCGAGTTTTAATATATTTTATTTTTTTACTAGAATATAAACTTTTGAAAAACTTATAAAACTGACATTGTTCATATTTATAGTTGTATAATTTTTACTTATTTGAAAAACACAAATTAGGTACATAAATGAAAAATAAAACATTTACAACATACCTCAGCATTTTTAAATTTTGCATTGACTTACAAATGTAACTCAATTATTATTCCGAATGGCCCCTGTAATTTAGACATAATCTATTAACTGCAACAGTATAAAGAAAAACATAGAATAAAATAATATATTCGAAAAATATTTTTAACTGGTGGTTATCAATCGACTGTATGTAAAAAATAATAACTGGTGCAATTCACATAGTTACAACTTAGAATTTTATACTAATTGGCTGTATTCCAATGAACTAATACCGCTAGATTTATTGATATTATAAAACATTTACACGCCCATGTATTAGCTCACAAAAATATCATATCCTATTGTTCATTTCTATTATCAATTAATGTTCTAGTTTAAAATTTAATCTAATATTTAATTGCATTATACAAGCACAATGGGCTTGAACCTTGGCATTGATCACGTAAACAGTTTTTAGGCATGGATAAAAAATTAAATTAACCACAATATAGTGTGTATAATGAGCGTCAAAGGTCAAGCACATATTTGGTTTAAGCTGTGAATATTTTTTACTACATAGCATTAACCTTTTAAATATTGTTCTTTAAGTATTACAGTATAATATAACGAACAGGTATTTTTAAGTATTACTAACTTCAGGAAATCATTTTGATCATATCAGATAATTAGATACAGAATTCAAATTTTTTATATTACTTGAGTAAAAAAAAAAAAAGAACGCATTCAACCAAGTTTTATAAATAAAAGTAGGTAGGTACTTAAACCAACAACATTAATAATAATCTATTTTTGAATCACATTAAAAATAAATGATAACACATTTAAATAATTTTAAGTGTGCCACAAAGTACCCATCAATTTTATCAATTAAAAAATTTTATTAAAAATAATGTATTTACGAATATTAAGATAAAAATAATCCAGACCTAGTAAGGTAATATTTTATAATTCAGTCGACAGATAAGAAAATGCATTACGTAGGAAACTCGAATAAAAGACAAACAAAAGAAGTATTAAATTTATATATGCCGTCAGATAGTGTTGGAAAATTGTTCTCAGTTTAAGAGTTAAAATTATTCTCATAATTTTATACGCCTTAAATAATAATCGAATAAACCGTAATTACACAATATATATATATACTGATACTGTTAAAAATTAGGACTAAATTATAGATGGTTTATTTAACTTTTGATAATATATAGAATAACAAATAACTTAATATAATTTATTATTCTTGAGGGCACATTTATTCATGCTAACTTAGCAATTCTTTAGGTATTTTTTTATCTAGTTTTTAACTAAATTATAGTCATAATAATTTAGCAGTAACAAATTTTCTTACAAGCGAATATCAATTTTACGTCATAAAACACGACTATGTGTGCTATATAATATCAAACTTTAAGTATGGTGATCTACTCATTGAAATTAATTTTGACAAAATGACCACAACTATTTATAATTCATAACTAGTGCCACGACTACTAGGCTGGGAGGGCCCGTATGTGGAAAGTACCCCACCTCCTCTCTCCCCCCCCTAGTAACATTTAATGGAACCACTACCTAGTTTTTGCTGTACTGTTCATGACAAGCATATAAATCATTTGTAGTAGATAGAGTCCGTTCCACTAGTGTTTCAATAAAGATACTCTTTTAAATAAATAGAAATTAAAATATTTTTATAATCCATCTATATAGGTAAAAGTAGACTATAGAAAACTATTTACAGAGACATACACGATTGTCATTAAAAAATGTGATGTACTCACAAGATATCGTTATTTTCTCGCGAAACCAAAAAACATTGTATTGACTAATCGATTTCATTTTTATTTTGCGAAAGAAATACGGGAGATTGTTCGTTCTGATATTTTGCAATAAAAATCGCTGGAAAACCTATACTATATGTATTCATTGAACAACGATAATGCTCGATTTTGTATTTCAAAGAATAATAAAAATACCTATTAAATCAAATTAATAAAAATAATCACAGACATCCAATAAAAAATGTAATATTGCAATTTCAAATGACAATGAAACGATTCAACAGATGTAAAGAGCATTTATCATGAAGAAATTACATTGAGACTGTCCAACGCCCACAGAAAAAAATATACTATCGTTTAGAGATTCGTAACACAGGAAAAACGATTACTTTCGACCTGACAACGATGACGTGGCTGTCCACCTCCGCATCATTTATAATGCAGACTATGCATATTTTAATAAGTGTATAATTACGATGTTCGAATGATGTTTGACCCAGAGCAACATACGCGCATTTTTTTTCTCTACAATTAATGTATATATTTATAAACACGTTTATTTGACGATGTGTTTCTCGAATGACAGGAATAATAGTTAAAAATAATATTGTTTTATTAATAGTATATCATTTTATCGAATAGTAATTAATCGGACAACATCCTTTACTTATGATAATATACTATAATGTATTGTACTAACGCAAAATTATATTATACATCAACAGGTGTACATACAATATTAACGATATTATAATAACACTGCCTGACGACACCATTGGTAAACATGAGGGGGGAGTAAAAGCAAGAAACATCAGCACACAACGAACAAGGCAAAGGAAAGAAAAAATAGTTACATGGTACACTTCAATATACTCGCATTTATTAAAAAATATATATATATATATATATATATGTATATACACACATAATATTATATGCCTTGAGGCACAACGACCGGTTTTGAGTCGTNCATAATATTATATGCCTTGAGGCACAACGACCGGTTTTGAGTCGTGTTTACTGCTGAGATCGGGTTTGTAGTAGTATACTCAACATAAACCTCTATGTATATACTCTTACGTACAATTTATATGCCTATGTGTGTGTGTTCTTTTAAACAATGCGATGACTAGCTGCTGTGGCGAGATGGAAGAAACCAGTTGCCTCAGCCGCCCAAGTCACGGGCAACGCATACATAATAATAATAATAAATCGACGGTCCGAAAGGCGGGCGCACAGTTCAGCAACAACTACTCCCCTCTCAGTGAGTCCATCTTCGGTCATCGATGAACGGCGGTTACCTCGTGGTCGACAAACGTACGTAACACACGAATGTAGAATAATAGAAGAAAGGCAACGGGTTGAGAACGCAGGTATAAGAAACGACACATGGTCGGCACAACTCGAGGCGATACAGCGGCAGTTCGCTCTTACAATGTTATAGATATATTTTTTATACATTTGTGAAGACGGCCCCCCCACAACAGTAAACCGGAACGACTCGCATTGCAGCCTGTTGGCGGTATACTTTGAGGTAGTACCATGTATTAACATGATTTTTGGTTTGGACATGAATTTTCCCGAAAGTGCATTCAATAATTTAGGGAATGTACTAGACTAAGGGAGTATTTAATTGATTTCTTCAAGATTACTCATTTAGACACCGTTTCTATGTCGATTAAGCCAAATGTCGACTATAATGTTGTACAACGTTAATCCGTAGAATTGATATGACAGCTGATTCACGTCTAATAAAATCAAACATCATGTAATAAAAAAAGGTGCAGTGCTTCTCTAATTTGAATTAAACTAACATTTGTCGAGATGCCACTAGAATATATACACTTTATCCAGACAGTGTCATCATCAATCGCGTATAATGGAAGATAAAATAAATTGCAATTTGACATAATATCAAAAAGTTATATAAACATCGATATTAATTTATAACAACACGCGAAAGGAAAAAAACTACAATATGATGGCCTCAATAATTGACTAGTTGAATTATGATAAAATAAATTTATTTAATAACAAATTAATAATATTAAATTTTTGTTTTTGAAAAATCAAATTAATTAAATTATTTACAAATTAATGAGAATGTATATAAATACACGTGCAGTCTTATAAATATTTGGGTTTTCGTTATTAAAATACTGTAGCCATTTACTTAATAAATAGGAAATTAATTTAATTTCAGTTGCTTCTCAGAAAATATAAGTCGACTTAAATAAAAGCGATAAACATGCCAATTGAAGCATCCTTTTACCAAATTACTAAGAAAACAACACTTCAAATGAATTATTTGATTTTCCATCAATTGGAATTTCATGTATTTGATAAATTCAGTACCTATTAAGCCTTTTCTACATAAAAATATCTATATTATAAAATTTATTTATAAAACATATTTTGAAAAAGCTACTATATGTTCGAAACATAAAAATCAACATATTACTTATGCAGAATTATCCATATTATTGAAGTGTGCTAAGGAATAATAAAATAACTATTAGAATAATATTTTATAAAAAAACATAATAATAGTTAAAATAAAGAAACACGATGTTCTTTTAAGAAGTAATAATAACTTGAACTCTGCCAAGACCTATGTAGAAAAAGCTTTTTATTTATTTTCATCGAAATGCACACAAAATTTTAGCGTCACATGTACCTAACATATTTACGTGACTTAATCCGAGTACGATACGAACAAGGAAAATTCTAAAATAGATTTACTCTGAAAGCAAGGGAGATTCCACAACCTTTTATCATATATATATATATATGTGTGTGTGTATGGTGTGTGTGTGTATGTGTTTATTGTGCAGCGTTTGCAATTCGCTTCCCGTTTCAAAGAGCAAGTTTAAACGGGGTTTAATTTAGAAAACGAAAAAAGGTTCTACCAATAACTATTTAGTATAACAACATTCTAGTCCGATTCAGTACATATTTATTTGTCTTACCGCTATAAAAATGTCATAAGACACAATTAAACTTGCATCTCTCTATAAATATGATTATATATTAAAATAACTAAGTCTTTCAATTAATTTAAATTTCTATAACTATTTTAGCTGAAAATCAATAAATGGCCGATAAATATTCGCGTGATTAGTACAAAATTAATTGCCACCGAGTGCTACAGTAAGAGTGATAGCTGAATGAATAATACATTTTTTTATTTTACTTAACTACCTCTTGAAATCACTTACTTAAAAGCTTTCTTAGTATTGATTTTTTTAGTTGCGTTTAATAAGTTTTTGTGTACGTTCAACAGCGTTCAAGTGTAGTTTTATTTTTCGATG